AACTCGGGAAAACATCATAGCAAGAAATCAACAATTAGTCCCACCAATGTCAGTCTACTTGCACATATTGCACTTACCGTCACCTAGAAAGTCCATTCTCAGTCTCAATGGGAGGCAGAGGAAGGGTCCAAATGACGTCATTTGTCTTTGACACGTGCCAGGTCTCATTGTGACGCAATGGTGCTTCCTGGAGGGATCTGGAGGCATCAGATGTTCTCCGTATGAGGTAATGTGTACTATATGAGGTTCGAGGGGCTATATTCCTCTAATCTATGACATCAGAAGGTCAAAATCTACGCAATGGGAGGCAGGAGAAGGGTCCAAATGACGTCATATGTCCTTGACACGTGGCAAGGCTCATTGTGACCCAATGAGTGACGTAATGGTGCTTCCAAGAGGGATCTGAAGGCAGCAGACATACTCCGGATTACGTAATATGTACTATAGGAGTAGGTAGTATTGAGTCCACACATCAGCGTAGACACAGCGTGCGTAGTGGTGCTCACGTATACCCAGTAACGGAGGCTAGACAGCTACTACTACTACCAAAAATACTTGAAGAAGAAGCCTGCTGCTGCTGCCACTGCCTTCCTTCTCGCCCTCTCACCTCTCACCTCACTACTACTACCTGCCAGCCAGCCAGCTAGCCAGCTGCCGCATCTACCACCGGTGGACCGGTACCACGGCAGCCACAGCTGGCTGGACTACCTGCAGTAGCAGCAGCAGGCAAGCAAGCAAGGCAGGCAGGCAGGGGAAGCTGGAGAGGGAGGGCCGCGACGAGCTGGCTTAAGCCCACCACATCCGACCACACACTACGGCAACTGTACCCATGTAGTGTAGTAGCCGTATTGACACCAGCAGTCTGCTACTGCTCCCGCGACCAGCCAGGCGACCGACCGAACACTGCACCCAACACGGCCACGCAGCTGCACCGGCGCCAGTCGCGGCTCCTTACCTCTCCCATCCACTTGCCAACTCTTCCCACCCACCCCCAAAACATGCATCCCTTTCCGCCTTTCTCACCCCTCTACCAGCGTATCCGCCTTCTACCCACTAGTCCCCACACCACTTCCACTTCTCCTTCTTGTCCTGCCACCAAACTGCTTCCAGTCGTTTTTCCCCCTACTACTCGCCTCCCTCCTAGTAGTGCCTCCTCCTTCCCCTCCTCAAATGCCCACTCCCATCCCACCCACTCGCACGCACGCACGCACGCACGCACGCACCCATGCTCGCTCGCACGCATATCACCAGACACGAGTGCACTCGCCGCCGCATTCCTCGCTACTTAATTTGCCTCAGCAACAACTACATTCGGCTTCACTTTGTCACGCCGTCGACCGCCTCCCCCTGTCTC